ATTTATCAGTTAAATAAATGCCATGTATCCAGCCTTTCTTTAGACAATGAAAAAAATCCGTGGAGTTAATCCTAAGGCAAACCACAGATTGATTGCTTCGTCGGCATCTCTCATCTACCACAGCAGACAAAACACCAAACAGCGATAGATGCTGCAGGGGATCTTTGCTGCCTCTTACCCACACTAATGCACAACATACCTAGAATAATCTATCGCCACCTTTAAAAGTAGCAGTAGAAAGAGCATTGATCCTTTCGTGTGTATGTCAGCCAAAAGCCATTTTCTTTCCTGGCGTGGAAAAATTGGGGGAGAAAATAAAAGAAGAAAAAAATTTCCAGGTTGATTCTGCACCTTCTGACCTGGGCTCTTCTCTGTGCTCCTTAAGAGGGCTCCCTCAGAGCTGCTGCTGGGCAGGGCCTTGTGCCCTTGGCAGCGCAGCCCATCAAGACGCTCTGCTGCTATTTGTAGCTCCCTACCACAGCTGTGCATCTAATATACAGTGCGGAAACCAGACTCCCTTTGGCAGCAGCGATGAGATTATAATATGAGGACTGGGAGATAAGTGACTTGCTTTTTATTGTTCTGGTAAGAAATTAGTAATCAAATGTACAGAAGGAGGTAATTGCTCCTTTTTTCAAGCAATTGTTCCAGAGAGACGCGTTTGTCACCAGCAGAACAAGGGTCAAGTTTACTAATGGTGCATCATTACCAGCAATAGCTTTATTCTAAGATCATTTTGAAGTTGTGTCCAGGACCTGTACATGCTGTTTAGTGTTTCCCAATTGTCTGTTCTTTACCACCAACTACCCCAGACTACCCCCAGACTGTGCCTAAAGACAGTGAGGAAAAGAACTTTGCAAGGAGGCAAATGGAAGTGGTATACATTAGTTCTCAAGATTTTGGGGTCTGAGAAACATTTAAGTGCCATCAAGCTTTGTTTCACTCATGTTTAGCATTCCAGGGCCTGCTTAGTTGAATGCACACACGCACATGGGTGTTTGGTGCCATTTTGAATGCTCTTGCATGTCCTGCTTGACTTACAGATGCCGCACAGGTTTTGTTTCCGTGGCTTGTCTGCATGCTCTCTGTGTGTCTCAGGAAAAGTGACAGCAGGAATCTGCCGCTGGATCATCTGGCCTCCCAAGGGTGCAGATTTCAGCTAAGCACCTTTCTTAAGTTCCTCACGGACACGTTGAGGTCTGGATCTGAAACCGCTCCTGTCCCAGGACCTCCCAACTGGCCCGCATTACCCATTCGTGTTTCCTTTTGCCTCTTTAGCTGTCATGGAACATCCAAAATGGTTGCAGGACTAACTTGCAGTCTGTTCTTTTCCCACAACTGTGTTTCAAAGGGCTCGCCTATGTGCTTAGCACATGTGTTTATCTCTGAAGGAGATTTTGTGCCATTGGGGTGTTCAGGTTCAGGTTGGGCAGTGCACTGTGCATCACTAGGGAATCTTGATCATATCTCTTGACATTGTTTGCCCTATTTATCTTTGCAGTAACCACAGGAACTTTGTGGATGCCCCCCAAGCTCTATCTGCTGACAAGCGCCCTCATGCCCAGCATGCGTTCCTTAGGGAAGGGGAACAATGAGAGGTGAAGGAACCAGCTTTCAGGGGATCTGCGCTTCCCCTTTGGGTAGTTGGGGTGCTGTGAGTACCTGAATAAAGCTCAGTGAAGGGCAGTAACTTTTGCCACAGGCCAGCTCCGGGTGTCACTGAACAGGTAACGCTAATTTTAAAAGCTGAGATCACCGCAGTCATCAAAGTCACCATGACAAACTTTTCTGATCAGATCGTTGGCACAGCTGGTGAAACTCTTTATCAGAGCACCAAAGTGGACACGAGACACCTTCACCCGCATCCGTTTTGCTTTCTTCATTTGTAGTTTCAGAGAAAGCAGTGAAAGACCAGATTCTTTCTTCGTGTTTGCACAGTCCATTCACTGAGTCTACATAAGTATTCATGAAGCAAGAAGATGAGTGGAAATAGCTGCTTTCTTCAGCAGTGACCTCCAAATGGAAAAATAATAGCATGCAAATTGTTGAAATGGATATAAGCCATTATACCTCTGCATATAATCCATGTGCTCCCTCTGAGCAAAGGACTATGATTCAGCTCTTAAAAAAACACATTCAGGAGAGTTCAGGAGTGGAGGATACACCTTGTGTGGCCTTGCAGCAGCTGGATCATTATTGTGTGCAGCGTGAGCGGTGCAGAATCCCTCTGGAGAGGGATTCTCTATTTGTGTCTGTAAAATTTCCAGCTCCACTAGCAATAGGTACATCCAAGATTTAATTTTCTCTCCTTCCTTTGTCCTACTTCACTGGCATTGTATCACAGTGCCATAAAATGAAGAATCTATTCTAAAAATTCCCCTTTACTTCTTATCTGTATAAACTCTCTCCCTGCTCAACCCCATCTCCAGAACTGACCACCAAGACATGGGAAATCCTGTATTTTTTTATTGTAGATTTCAGACCACAGACCTAGATTAAACAGCCAGCAATTCCCACCAAGAACAACCATTCCTTTCCTGTTTCTCACATCGGAGCCTGTGTACCAGTATTATCTCGCATTTTTGCAAGTGCCATCAAATGGAAAAAAACAAGACCAAAGAGACCAAAGTAGGAGGCTTAGCTAAAATTTCAACTTGGCAAGGTGCAGTCACCTGGCAGGACTGCCAGGGGCAGCGAGGCACAAAATTTTCTCCAGAACTTCTCCAGTTTTGCTTCTCTGAACTGTTAAACCCTGTAGGAAGAGCACGTTTATTGCATCTTGGACATGGCCTTCTTCTGGTTTGTGTAGCTGTCTCTGTGAAACTAAATAGTTGTGCTGGGCAGTGGATTTTTGAAGGACTAGAAGATTTACTTGAGTGATGTAACACATTCCTAATCTAATCCAGCATGGTCTGGGATGACTGTAATATACTTTTTTTTATAAATTTATCACAGGAAGCAGGACACACACAAGCATTCTCATGAAATAGCCCCTTTCCCCCTTCTTTTTCAGAGAGCTTCTGGGTGGAAGGGTCAAGATTAATTGGCAAAATAGTCAGCAGCAACCTTGAGGTGATCAGTTCCACCTCCCGCTCTTATGCCAAATGATGTTAGTGTTTCAGCACCTCTTAGGAAGCAAAATTCCTGTCCATGGGACCTGGTCTCTTACTTAGTAGGTAATGTAACAGTAGATAAGTGTTAACTTGCTCTAGTCGCCTCTGGTAGAGCGGGAACTCCCAGACCTAGCAGAGGCAAAGCCATATCCCACAGAATTTCTCAGGAAATGCTTACGAAATTGAGTTGTTCTGCAAGCTGCATTGATTCATTGTAGTTATGGCAGCTTCTGTGGCTGGGACTACGCAGGAAGGTTCATAACTGCTGCAGCAGCAAGGACAGAAACCTGCTCTTTAGCCCAAATGACAGAGGCCCAAGTTTCTACTGCTGAATTGGAGATGAAGCAGTCAAGAACTGCTTAGGGTGTGGGGAGCAACCAGACCGACACTTCCTGAGCCAGGAGCAAATATCTCGAATCTCAATGTCTACCCATTCTTTCCAGCATATGAATAATGGAGCATACTTCAGCAAATAATGCATTTTGATACCTTCTGTGGTTTGGGTTATCAAGAACTATATCCCTTCTTGTTTAATGGAGATCTGGTGAGTTTTGGTGTTGTGATGTGACCGTGATGAGCTTCAGCTCCCACCATCACAAACTCACTGTGGCGTTTTGTGCTTGCCAGCAGCTACTCGAGGGGAAATTCTGCCTTTTGCTCTGGGTGTGCAGAGGTACTGACCATAGGGAGGCCCAGATCATGGTCGCACCCCTCAGAAAGAGTCTCAGTAGCAAAAGGCAGATTTCATCACTGGCATGCTGCAAACGTTGGAGAGTTTGCAGCTTTTTGAGTTGTCAGACATACACTGGAGATTTAGAGAATGGACTAAAAAGCAGTGGATTAGTGTTGCATTATTTTGAATGTCTCACCACCACTTTTTAAGATGTGAGGTTGCCCGCACTGCATATGACAGTCATTCTGAATCTTACGGGCAAGAAAATATGAGGAAAATACATATGTCTGCTACCTGCACATAAGATTTATTTTTCTTTTCTTTGCAAACAGATTACGAATTAGCTGTACAGCTGATACTAAAATAAGTTCTCTTTGGCCTTGCACAATTGCTTTCTTTCATATGACACGTAGTGGAAAAGCTAATTGATGTTCTGTCATTTCTGTTTCAATAAACTGAACTCAGTGATGCTGCCCTCTACAATCTGTGACAGCTGATTTAAAATAAACTAAGGAACTAAATTTATTTTTAAACAATGATTACCTCAGTCTGGAAACCCTGTTAAGGCTCCCTCCCCTCCAACTACTGATATAAGGAAACTTCTTTAGAAAATACTTCAAAACAATTAAAGTGCAGAGGGAGAAATATATTTCACAGGAAGCATTTTATGGTGGAGAAAAAATAATTATAGGTAGTTTTAAGTGTATTCAAAATGAATCAGCTGCTCTGAAGAAAAATGTCATACTGGCAGATAAGGCATGAATAATTATGAAAGGTATGATAATATTCCAAGAATGAAATTATATTAAAAGTTGAAGCTTTTATGTCATGACCCATGTAAGGATCTGAAAGCCTGATAAAATAATTAGTGGATGCTTTTTTTTTTTTTTCATTTTTCTTAAGGCTCTTGTGAGAATGATGAGCCTCCCTGGTTGATGCGGAAGGGAAAAAGGGAGCTGAAGAGAATTCACATGGGGCACCAGTGTCAGTGGGGACCGTGGGGCTCAGCAAGCCCAGGCCCGGCCCACAGAGACCACCCAGCGCCCCAGGTGTCAGCAATCCTGGTGCGAAGGAGGACGAGGGAGGCCTGGACAAGCGCCCTGTGCCCAGCCACCACAGGGGCAGGACAAGCCTTAGCTGGGCAGTGCTGAGCCCCAGGGCCAAAGCCATGGAGAGGGGCTGCCCTGGTACTGACATGAAGCTCCTAGGGAGAGATGGCGCTCGGTGCAAGGGTAGAAAGCGTTTGCTGTTCAGACATCTGCCACTGTGGAGCAGCGCCGGGTCGGGTAGGAATGTGCACTCGTCTACTCAGAAATGCAAGAGAGCAATGTAAAAATAATGCCTTCCATTAGACAACAGGTTTCTGTATAGAGGAGATTTTAATTGGTTGACGTAGCTGCAAAAGTTTCCATTGCAGGATGAGTGTGTGTGTTCATAACAAGATGCAGTCACGTGCTATGAATAACAGAATAATAAACAATCCTTAGCATTGCTATTAACCATCTGCTCTTATTTTTAGTGTTGTGGAGTTGAACATGAATGTTTAAGAGATGGGCATATTATTCAGAAGCACGTTTCATGTTACTTGAAACATGTGAAATGCTTTTCAAACGAAACAGAAGCATTTGCTTATAGTCAAAATGTAGTAAATTTATTTACAGGTGATCTCACATCAGCCTGAACTTTATTTTTGAAACAGCTTACACATGCTCTTTAGTAAATATAATAATAATCTCTCTACTATTATTTAAGTATTCTACTGTCTCTTTCTTTAATATTTTTTAAAAAATTCATTACATTGGCAAGTGATATTTTTTCTTTTGCTCTTCTCTTAGTATTTTTAAGCTGCATTGTATTCTTTTCCTTAGAGCTAACAGGAAGTATAGCAATGGAATAAAACTGCAATCGGGCTCTTCTGCCGCTGTGCTCATGGGCTGATCTACAGCAGAGAAGCGTCCAGGGAGCCAGCGTGTGTGGGGCAGAACGAAGAGGAAGAAAGAGGAGGCAACCTGTGTTCCCTGCAGGGCTGGGCTTCCCCGGCCTGCTCCCGTGCCCACTCAAAATGACACTCGTTTCACAGCCTTATTACCTTGGTGTTATTTTTAACCGTATCATTGTTCCTTGCTATTTGTGGTGTTTCAATGCCTGGGTAGCTCAGCCAAGAGCAAGACTCTAAAAATACGGCCTGATTCTGCCAGGGAAACCTCACGAGTTCTAATAGGAAAGGCAAAATTGCAAGTGAGAAAGCAAGAGCAAACGCTACTGTTGTGGTTTTACGTGGAGAACAAGGAGGAGAGAGATGAAGGGAGCTGTGCCTAAGCCTAGGCAGCTCGTGCCACTCGAGATGCCCCCCTGTATGTGAGGCAGGCGGCACCTTTGGGCTGGGTTTTGCCCACTTTTTAGCCCACTTTTAGGTCACTCGCTCAAGGTTGTTCAAGGGGCATGAAGCAATGTTGTGCTTGAACATAAACCCTATCAGTGCTGGTTCACTGTCTTAATCACAAACTATTTTTTCCTGTTTACAGCATCTCTTTTCTTTCTCCCAACCACCTACACTACTGCTGCTATGAAGCAGAATATCCTTTCCTGCTTAAATTTTTCTTCTTTGTGTTTCAGTTCTTCTTTTCTGGCTCCTCTTTCTCTCTCACTTGGCAGAAGGCTCAGCGTTTCCTTGCTTGGAGGACGTGTTATGTAATGTTCTCCACCTCTTCTGCTCTTTTGTGGGCATCTCCTCCCACCCTCAGTGTGCTGAATAATGCTAATATGCTCTGAAACATGGGGATCAAGAGCCTTTGCCCTCTTATTTTAGTTGACGTATCTGCAGCTGTTAATAGGCGTACAAACAGCTGACGTACTGAAAATCTGATGTGAAACACACATTCACAATCAGCTCTTAAATGAATTACACATGTAAAAAAGTAATATTCTTCTTTCAAATCATATTAGATGTATTCCCTTTTGCATTTGAGAGTCATTTTATTCACATATTTTTTAAAGATTAAGTAGATAATATTAACCTTTCTCAAATATCCTATTATCCTTTTTATTTTAGTCACATTTGTCTTTTTCAGTTGTTCAGATGGAAGTCATTCCATTTCTATGTTGACTTATCTTCCCTTTACATTGTTTTGAAAAGCTGTGTTCCTTATTGATTTTCTTTATGACAAACAAAAGCATTGTATAGAATCTCATCTGTAAGAAATGACAACAGCACAGTTATTCTCTGGTGCAGATGAGTGCAACTTTTTACTATTTATCACTCATTTCACTGCTTTAGTTCGACTGCATTTTACTGGTAGCTCTGTTTTGGTTTTCTTTCACTCAGTATCTTGGACTCATATTTTTGTCCTGACACTACTACTTCTTTCTACTTATTGCCTATGATCGTCCTTTCTCATACAGTGATACCTCTTAGTCTACTGTAGGAAGTCAACCTCTGAACATGCCCCTCTGTTGGAGCAAATTTTTTAGGCGGCTGTGTTTGTCTTGGGTATTAATGTACCTATTGCATGGCCTCCGTAATATGTGCAGACTGTTAAGAGGGGTTTTTGATCTTCTCATGTAACATCTGTGTCAAGAAGGCCACTACTATCAAAACACAGCAGCTGCTGAGTCCATCCACATATATCCTCTTCTTAATGCGAAACATGGAGCAGCCTCTTTTATAGGAAATATGGAGCAGCCAATGAAGACGACAAGACCGGGTGAGCTCACCACTCTTTTAATCTAAATATGGCTCTGGAAGAGCATATGGCTTCGCAGTCGTCCTTTGCCTGCTTTATTTTTTCCCTCTTCCCCTGCACACACTTGCTGCCTTCCTCATGCGATGACACCATCAGTGTGCATGGGTGCCGCTTTGGATGCCGAGATTCGCACGCGCTTTTCCTGCTGCAAACGCAGCCAAAGTTTAAAGAATTTCTAACCAGCATTTTATTTATTTATTTAGAAGGCACGTGGTCCTCATGCTTTTAGCAGATTTACAGTAATTTTAGAAATGAGGTAATGCAATCAACTTCAGGAAAAAAAAAAGCAGACAGGAAAACAGCACAGGAGAATAGGTGAACTACCTGTTTAATATCCTAAGAATTACAGTTGTTGAACACTTGCTTGCTTCATTGATGCTTTCGCAACCATAACCTTTTACAGAGAAAACATCTTTTTTGTTAAAAAAAAAAAAAAAAA